AGATTAAGGAACTGTTCAGGGGCGGCTGGTTAGCTCAATTGGTTAGAGTGCTGTGATCATACCACCAAGGTTGCCAGTTCAATTCCCACATGGGCCAAGGAGCTGTGCCCCCCGCAACCAGATTGAAGACAACTACTTGACTTGGAGCTGATGGGTCCTGGAAAAACACACTTTTCCCAATTTAAAAACAAAACAAAACTGTTCAAGGTCACAAAACAAATACAGCTGAGATTCAAACTTGGGCAGAGTTTCTATTATTGTGTGTTTCTGACACTATCAAAGCCTTCTTTAGGAATTTAGTGACCTACCAGATAGGGCATTATCGAATTTTTCCTCCAATGTAGCCTTAGAGTCTGGTGACGCTACTATAATTGGCCTTCTCGTTCTCCAAATTCCAAGTAACTACATTTGCAGAAATATCACATTAACGTCCAAGTTTTAATAGCGTTTAGCGAGACTTGTTGTATTATCTCAAAGAAAAGTGAAAGTTTTCACATCCCTGTGTCATTACTTCCCGTAGGAATATGGCTTAAGCAAGCGCAGAGCCTAGTAAGACACCGGGCTGGACAAATACAGCTGAGGGCCTCCACTTGGAGGTCCATGAGCCACAAGGCTAAACATCACAGCAAATAAAACTTAAATACCTAACACACTATGTTAAAGAGCCATGTTGAAAAACGACATCAAGTCTTCTCCTATCCACAAAGCCATTCCTAGTTGCTTCTAATCTCTTCCCCAACATTGACAGGATAGCACAGACTACATGACTTTGAGCTCAAACAGGTACCATTGTGTACTGGTTAGTTTCAAAGGCCTTGGTCTAAACATCAAGTCTGTAAACTATGAGACCAAGGATTGTAGCTTATTCTTCTATGCTCATTTTCCAGGACTATATTTAGCTGATAACAGATGTTCAAATACTTAATACTGTGTTTCCCTGAAAATAAGACCTGGTCTTATATTAATTTTTGCTCCAAAAGACATATTTTATTCATTTATTCATGTACATAAATCTACATTTATTCAAATACAGTCATGTCTGGCTGATGATCTTAACTGGGGCTTATTTTGGGGTAGGGCTTCTATTATAAGCATCCTGAAAATCATGCTAGGGCTTATTTTCCAGTTAGGTATTCTTTTTGGGGAAACATGGTAGATCAAAAAAGTTAATTAGGGTGTTTATTAGACACAACCTCAGTAAAAATTGGATTTTGTTGACATTTTCTATGTACATGGGTATTACTTATTTTATATTTAAAAAGCACTTAACATCTCGTTTTATTGATATGAGGCCCAGTAAAGACAAGGTGAACACCAAACTTTTGTTCAAAAGCTAAACACAAAACTTCTGTTCAAACTACATCATCTTGGGGGGGAAAAAATTAAAGTCAACTTGTGGGGGAAAATAAAGCTTTAATAGCCATAAGAAGAGTAATGCCATGATAGCTTTATATGCTTGGTTTGTCTATAATTCAGTTAGATAAATTTCCCAACTCTGAAATCAACTACTGGGGAAAAGAGTATGCCCTCTGTCAGATTATAACGTGAGCAAATATGTACTCTAAACTTGCTAAGCTGTCGTTGGCATCCATTCAATGAGTGTTTATTAAACTTTGGTTACTTGGCACAATGCACACTGGGGTAGAGTCTCTAGAGAGACAGACCCTGTGATTAAGATGAAATCCTACAAGGAAGGAAAAGCACATGTATGAACCAATTTTGTGTATGAACCAATCAGGGGTATAATGTAATACTGTAAAGTCAATTGTTTAAGACAGATCTCAAGGGCAATGGTAATTCAGAAAAACCACGGTGGTCACAGTGGGTATTGGGAGCTTTCTATCAAACTGTCTATTGAATTTATCGTCATCTGAATTTATGGTCTTCTTCCTTAGATCCCAGGATCTAGAAAGTTCAGCCTTCTGGAGATGCCTCTGGGATGATGAAAGGGGGTCCAGGCTTTGAAGTCAGACAAACCTGGCTTTGAATCTTGGTTCTCTCACATATTAACTTTGTGACCCTGGGCAAGTTTACTTAACCCCTCTGAGATTGGGTTCCCTCTTCTGTAAAATTGAGATAATACAAATGCTACAGTGTGACTTTGACGATGAGAGATAATGTAAAGTGTGTATAACACAGGGCTCAACACACAGTAAGCCCTCAAATTGTCATTTAATATACGCTATAAAAGGCGCCAGTGGAAAGGTACTGCTTAGGTGAAGCCATGTACAAAGGTGGGGGGTCCAGAACAAAGATTATTCTGAACCCATCTATTCTTCTCCATATCACTTAGGTCTCCATATCCTTTTAGTTATAATGGCAAATTGGATTTATTTCACCTACCCTCCTCATTTTAGTACTAAGCCCCTCTTCCATATCCACGATTTTTAAAAAAGTTACTTTCGACATGTTCAGAAGTGACTTCCAGAGTTCTTTGTGCAAAAGCTATTCACCCAAAGACACCTGGTCAACAGTGGGATGCTAAGTGATTAGATAGCATTTCCTAGCAGTAGCTTTGTCGCGGTACTTACAGCTTACGTAAGGGTGCTTACAGCTTACGTAAGGGTGCTTACAGCTTACGGAAGTGTCACGCAAGAGCTGAAGAGCCGGATTTCCCGGAAGACTGGTTCTTGGTCAGCTTGGTAGAAGGTTAACTCGGTAGAAGGGCTAACTACTCGCTCCATCTGCAGAGGCCTCTGCTCCTCTGAGGACTTGTCTGAATGGGTTTGCACCATGACGCAGGCTGAGCACCCTGGTTTCCACAGCAGAGCTTCTCCAGCCTTAATGCACATCTCATTAACCACAAGTTCTGAGTCAGGAGGTCTGGAGACGGGCCTGGGACTCTAACAAGCTCCCAGACCATGCTTGTGTGGCTGAGTTCCAGACCACACTGGATGTAGCAAGGTGTGTCCAGGGCCAGGACAACTAGAATTCACAAACCAAGGAACACACAGTATTCCTCCATTCTTGGGGTTCAAAAGCAAAATGTGTGGGGTGGGGTGGGGCAGCAACTGCCAACCAACTTTGTCTAAGAAACTACTAAGTTACGGAAATAGTATAAAACCAATGGAGTACACATGGAACCCTTGACTCCCATAAAGGAAGTAACTTAAAACCAAATCACTTATAATATTCACAGGGACCATTCCCATTTTCTCCACCTAGAAACATCCTCTCCCACGCCTCTCATTCCACAAAATAAAGTTCTTTACTCTTCTCTGTAGTGTAAGATACCATTTTGTCAGAGCTCATACACGGTTCCTTTCAATAATTATTAACGCAAACACACACCAAGACGCTGCTAATGTCTCTTGTTGAGTCTTAGGTGTGACAGAAACAGTGCTGTCTTAAAAATCTGGGAAAAATGACAGTAACAGCATAACAGATGAAATCAACTTAGAACACTAATCAGGCTCCCATGGTTCCTGAAAATTGAATGTGCAGTCTGTAACTGTCACTGATTTATGTACAGTCTGACCTTCAGGGACAGAAAAAGTGAACAAACATCTCAGGGACACTTGACATGTTAAATTGGAGGCTTTATACTGCAGTGATAGGAAGAAAATACGTCCTAAGATATACTGTGGTCATGGGGATGAAACACAGGGCTGGAAGCCGGCAAACAATCCTAGTGTCAGTATCACCAAGTCATTTCACCAGCTGGGTGACTTTGCTTATCCAATTAACCTCTTCACTCTTTATTCAACATATTCCCTCCTCTTCCTCGAACACTCACGTCGTTTTGTTCAGCGTTCACAGTCCATGTCCCAGAGAAGGCAGCCCTTCCCAAGGAGTGACTGTCGATTCACCTAAATGATCATTGTCATTCCATGGCCAGTGACCAAGTTTAAAAGCACGGTACACGATGTAACTGATGGAGCATTTGTGCCGCTAAAGTGACCAGCCCTGGGACCGCTTATGCCTGAACCTTTAAGCACATGAAATAATGTTTCTTGCAACTGAAACCACTATGGTTCATTCATCTGTTACAACATTGTGAATAGTAACGCTTCCTTTTCTTTCAAGCTCACTTCTGGGGGTTGCAGTGTTACCTAGTACTACCCAATATTTATCTTGGCACCGGAACAGCACATGGTTCCTAGAGACAGAGATGGAGTCTGGTGTGAGTGTGGAATCTGGTGGGATCCCAGTACCTTGCACAGTGCCTTTAAAAAAAAATAGGCGATTAATAAATGTTTATGGGTGCATGCCTCCTCCATCCAGTGAAAGCAGTGGAACAGAAGCCAAGAATTCAATGGTGAAAAAATATATCAACCCTCACCTCCAAACGGCTGCAAGCAGGGAACAGGGCTTCTCTCCTTTTGTTGTGAATAAGAACCACCTGGGGAGCATTTTCCAAACTACAGATTCCCTGGCTCTATCCAGGCTTAGTTTTAACAAGCACCCAGGTAACCTGTGGACCATATTTTCAAAAAGACTGTTCCTCTTCTCCTTGTGGCTCAATGTGGTCACTTTTTTTTGTTGTTGTTTTCACCCGACACAACCATATCGGCCGCCCACAATCCTACCCACTCCCCAGCCCTGACAGTTGTTACACTCTGTCCCGGCAGAAGGTCAAACTACATCCAAGGGCCAAGTATTCACTGGTTGACGTCGTATTTTCAAAACAAAATGCAAACGTAAAAGCAGCCATCCGTCTTTGCTATGCCTCACTGTTTACACTCACAATCCAAACCACTTTCCTTATAAACTTGCAATCTCTTCCCCTCCGACCTCCGCCAGGCAAGTTTTCCAGGGAGCAGAAAACTGTCTCAGGATCTTAGGGCACAAACTAGGTGCAGACTCTCGGTTGCCTGTCGTTGCCCCAGAAACCACACACAAAGGTTTGCACCACAGAGAACTCCCCCAGCACGTCCCGGCACCACCGTGGCCCCGGCTCCCGGAGCGCGCCTCCAAACGCCGTCTTTGCGGCGCGGGCGCCGCCTTCCCACCAGCCAGGGTGCTCGGTGGTGGTGACTCCGCAGAGCCCTGAGACTTACCTGAAACACGTGGTGAGCTCGCCCGAAGCCTTCAGACACGGGTATTTGGTCGTGGCGATTCTGTTTTCTGAGCAGACTTCTCTACGAAAGAAGTTGGAGAGACAACATCGTGGGTTCTCCGCGGGGGAGCGGAAACCAGTGCGCGTTGGGGACCCCTAGCGCGCCGGGACTGCAGGATCTGCGTCTTCCAGCGCCGAGCAGGGTCAGGTCACCGAGCGCGGACGCCCAGCGGATTGCGGGGTCCAGCCCAGCGAACCCAGCCCCGGGGGAGAGAGGAGCTGAAGGAGCGGGACACGGGAGGGCGGCGGGAACGCGGGGCGGGCGTATCACGCATGGGGCGAGCCCGGGCTGAGAGCGCAAAGGCTGTGACCCAGGAGCCGAAGTTTAATGTCGCCCAGGGCAGTCAGGCGCCCAGCCCGTGGCTGGCGGCGTGAGGGAGCGAAGGTCGCTGCACAGGTACCTGCACCCCGAGAGCGGGGCGCGCACCGGGCAGGGGCTGGCTGCGTTTACCTGTCGCTGTCGTCGGGCTGCTCTCGGTAGCTCCACGTGTGTCCCAGCGCCAGGAGCAGCAGCAGCGGACCCAGGCTCTTGCCCAGATGCCCCCTCGCCGCTCCTCCCCGGCTCGGAGGTGGCGGCACCATCGGGGACGCTCCCGGCTTCTTCCCGGCGTCGGAGCCCTCTCCCCGCCCTGCGCCCGGCTCCTCCGCGGCCGCGGTCCCTGTCCCCGGCAGGGGGCGCCGGAGAACAGGGGCGTTTGCGCCACCTGCGCGAGGCACAGGGGTCTGGCGTGTTATGGGGCTCGGGGGATCAGGCTGAGTTGGGGTGCAGATGGCAAACAACGCAGACAGGCAGGTGAGCGCGGCGCCTGCGATGCCCGGCCCGCTCGAGGGTCGCGGGGTCCGGGTCGTCTGGCCTGGGATGCTCACGCCGAGTTGACAGATTTGCTGGGCTCGGCTTGGGGCAGCCTCCTCCCTCCTGCGTCTTCATGGGAGAGGAGCACAGGGTGCGGAAAGCAGGCGGCTGCTCGCGTTTTACACCAGGGTCGCGCGACCGAGAGGAGGAGCCGGGTCTCATCCCGGGGAAAAGGAGGGGGAGCAGAGGGGTTAATCAGCTTCCTTCCTGTTGTCAGTGGATTTCTAAGGACCAGGGTCAGGATAACGTTTGCTTTCCCGCCTCGGGCGCCGGCGCTGTGCGTTCCCCCTGCCCAGCTTTCTCTGAGCTAAACAGGGGTGGAAGGGGATGTGGACGGGCTACAGCGGCTCTCCCCAAACTGCCTTTCAGACCCGACACAGCACAATTTCCAGAGCGTAGTCTGCCTCTGTTAAAAACCCTTAGAAGCAAGTCCTCTGCTGGCTGCTTCATAACGCGAAGTCTCTCTGGGTAGTTTGAATCCCGCTGCCCTGAGTGCGCTGCTTTGATGCTGCTGGAATGCCACGCACACAGGTGACAGCTGGAAACTCCTGGAAGATCAGGTGAGGCGCTGAAAGGGTCCCTTAATCACCGGCCCTGCCCCTCGCTAGTTACCACAGTGGTGTTTATGGGGAGCGTGAAAACCCTGGGCTGGGGGCAGTAAATCAGCTCATTTGGTGGGGGCCCAACTGCCATTCGTAGATGTCTGCATCTTAACACTTTATTGCACATCAGGAGTTCTCGTGCCTGTTAAAGAGAAACTTGTGACATAAACGTGTCCTGCGGAGCCAAGCAAGTGGTTGTGACCCAGAAATAAGTTGGAAGAGCATGAGGTTGTAATGCCTTGCCGCTAACAAGCGCAGTTCTGCAGCTCCCAGGACGATGTCGTGAAAAGGTAGCTTGTTCACAAGTTCCTTGTGTGCTACCTGGTTAGGTAGGCAGGTGTTTTTATTCAAAATATTCTGATCAACTGAGAATTACCATGTATATCACATACACCCTGGCATGCTAATAACAATGGAATCCTCATTGCTCGGTAGAATGCTTCTGTATTTTACAAAGTTTTTTTCAACATTTATGACTTTATTTGATACAATATCCCTTGAAACTAGGAGTCTGACTTCTTAGTTCAGTGAGGTGGTTTTTTTCCTGCAAATCTTACATCCACATGGAAGAACCTAAAATAGACTTGATACTAAAAGATGGTACTACACAAAATACATGAATTTTAACGTGGTAACTCAGAAAACACTTCAGAGGCTTGCGAAACCTGAGCGACCAGTATGGAGTCTGAAAAATAAAATCCTAACTTCAAGAAAATCCTAGCCAGGCTGTGTGGCTTCCGAGGTGTGTGACCTCGGACAAGTTACTTAAGCTTTCTGAAACTCAGTTTTCTCATCTGCAAAATGGGGAAAGCTCCCTCACAAGTGTTTATGAGTGTGAAATGAAGTCATGCATATAAAGCCGAATTCACAGTGCCAAGCTCATAATGAGTGCTCCGCAGACATTAACTATTATTTTAATATAAACTACTGTCTTGCACAGAATTTTCAGTTTTAACTTGCAAAAATAACTTAACTATTTTGCTTTCTAGATATATAGGACTTTATTTCATAACAGTTGTTTGGATCCTTAAAGAGATACCTGTCTAAGCCCATGAAAAATCAACTCATCCTGAAGCTTATAAAGATTGTATCGCTTTAGATTGAACCACAAACGTGTTCATCTCCATCTGGCAAGAAAGAGGCCATACTGTAGCAGGTTCTATTTTTATTTTCTTACCAGTTACTCTGTTTTGGTATCTTGCCATCTTTTTCTCATCTCTACTAATACTTTTTTTTTCTACTGTTGCATTATGGATGCTAATTGTACAAATAATAGAGAATGGTGTAGGTTAGTTAGCAGCTTTATTAAATAGTTAATATGCCACATATGGGGACATGCTTTGCAGAGAAAGTAATTCAGGCTGCAAAATGATAAAAGCAAAGCCGTGACCATTAGCACAGCTGTGTGGCAGAAGATGGGGGACAGAGCCAATTTTGCTGCCTCCTGATTTCCAGCCCCCCTACACTGAGCATAGATAAGAACGAGGCATCAGAGAAGGTGCTGGAGCCAAGCAAACAGCCCAGGTTTGCCTGGGGAGGCAATCTCGAGGGTGGGTGGCCAGAGCATTTATGGAAGAGGTGAGCTGGAGCAGAGACCTTTTGAAACCCTTTGCCTGGAGGCCTGGAACTTAAACTAATTGGCAGCTACTGACAGTGTGACATTCAGCGTGGGTCTTGAGGGGCTGGGCCGGAGAGCAGAGCCAGGCAAGAGGAGAGATGGATGGCCATGTATGGACACTCGTCCCCTGAGAAGTTAAACACTCCTGTAAAAGACAGAAACTGCGTTTGCTCAGGCTGCAGCCTGCATGGGGCGTGTCAGAATGAGACTGGGTGGGGTAGGGATCTCCAGGGACTTAGGTTTTCTCCCATGTCCTCGCTCTCCCCCCACACACAGAAGCTCACACACACACACACACACACACACACACACACACACACACACACACACACACGCTGGCCCCCACTGATCTGCCCCATTCCCTCATTTATGAAACACTGGATGAGAGGACTCACCTCCCGCTTCTTTCATCGGGAGTGTTACGAAGATTAATGATATGGACTTAAATGCTCCTCGGGGGAGGCTCTGTATGATTATTTCTTTTCAGCATACCACTCCGCGATGTTTTCCATATAGACCTGTCAGCTTTCCTGAAACAAGCCAGAGAGAGGATAGTTATACAGTTTACCATGTCCTAGGGCTACGGGGCTGTGCCAAGGGCTTCAGAATGCAGGCTGTGCTCCAGGTTAGTCTCCCTGGTGGCCCAGGTATCGTTAAGGACTGCTGAGTGTTATCTGGGGGCAGTGGGGGGGGGGAAGGGAAGGGAGGAAGGGTGATTGGCTGGAGAATACAGAGGCCAGCATACAAAAGCAAAGTGAAAGGAAAAAAGAAAAGCAAAAACTAGGCAATAGGGCAAAGATGACCCTTCTAAATAAGACCGATGGCCTCTTCCACTCATTTTTTTTTAGCTTTTATTTATTTTTATATAAGCTAATATATTAGTTTCAGGTGTACAACATAATGATTTAATGTATGTATACGAATCTATTGGGAAATGATCACCACAATAAGTCCAGTTAACATCGTTCACCAAAGTTACAATTATTTTCTTGTGATGAGAACATTTAAGATCTATTCTTTTAGCAACCTTCAAATATGCAATACTGTATTATTAACTATTATCACCATGCTGTACCTTACCTCTGATTTATTTATAACTGGACATTTGTATCTGTTTATCACCTTCACCCATTTTGTCCACTCATTTTTAAGGGACTCCAACATCTCCTTTGGGGGAAATTAACATAGTATTAGAAATGAGAGATCAATAAAAAAAAAAAAAGCTAAATTGCTGTAAAGAAGAAAACCACCAAATGGGCACACAATTTATTTCACTATTATTTGTTTAAAATTTTCCTTATAAGAATGATTTGTGATGACTGACAAAAATACACACTATTTTACAGTGTATATTTCTTTGTGTATTTATGCATGATGCATAGTATATCTTATATACATACAGCACAGATTAGATGTTTAAAGCAGATCACAAGTCAGTTCTCAGATTTTCAGCAGTCAATTCAGGATGATTACGTGATCAGTTACAAGATTCAAGATAGCCATAAGGGGAAGCCTATACACTGCTCAAAAAAAGTCAGAGATTTTTCCTGTCGGTCTCCCTGAAATATTGCAACAGTCATCTACTCTCAGATAAAGGTCTTTTCACAGAAACAAGACTCGACAAGTGTGGGTAGAGTTCCTACTAAATTGCAAGTGATACACATACCACATAATCTCTCTAAAAAAAACAAGTTGCCCTACGATCTTCCTTCAGCTTCAGTTTTGATTGACACGTGGCCAGGTCGGCTTGGAAAATTAGGATTATGCCTTGAAAAGTGTTCAAGTGCACCAATCTCCAAGCCATTGTGAGGAAATGCTTGAGGCCAGGAGGATCAAACATGTTAATACAGTAAAAGGGGTTTAAAGTCCTGGTTTGGGGATGTGTCCATTATCTTTGAACCTAGTCTCCCTTAGTTTTAACTTGCAGTATATTGAAGTTGTGGGTCTCTGGAATTTTCTCCCAAGACAGGAAGACACATCTGATTTCTACACGTTTGGCAGAATCACACAATTCTTGCCCAACGTTGAAATAAAAGCAATTTTAAAAGCTTGGTTAGCTTTATGTGCACAGAGGCTGCTACAAGAAAAAGGTACAAACAATACAAAGAAGAGAACCTTTTTGGTAATTGGTTGAATGGTGCCCAAAAAAATCAAGAAAAATTATTCATGTGATTTGAGTGTCATATTCTTGAAAGTTCTAATACACACACACACACACACACACACACACACACTGAGTGAGGTTTCCCTGTCAAGTGTGTCTCCCAAAGGAAGAACTCATTGAGATGGTAGGTGTTAGCAGTCTCCTTGCCCAGTCAGAACCAGAGGACCAAACCTGGGTTTCTAGGAGGAGAAGTGGATTCTAACACCACTCAATTCTGCAGCGCCTTCTGGGACACAGGAGACTACAGGACACATAGCTGGGATGTCCCTATCTCTTGCAATCCCCACAAGCATGAACAAGGGAGGATAAGGGGCCAGCGCTAGAGGTAGGGCCACTGGCCCACGTTATGAAGCCTCTGGTAGAGAAATGGTGTTAGAATTCTCCTAGGATTTATGAGCTGGCTCCTTTGAGGGTCACCACTCTAATACCACAACTTCTCAGCTTCGTTTTGGTAGAGCTAACTCTGTTTGCATGCCTTCATCCTATGAGGGTAAGGGTTCTTATTTAACATTTACTGAGAATTGCGAGATGCTCAGCCCTGTAGCATGGTATCAAGCCAATGTGACAAGTAGTAAGAATGTTGACTTTAAAAGTTTTCTGATCTTAGCCAAGGTCTCTTTTATGGTGGAATAACTATATTTATTACCCATGCTAACAGAGCATGGGTACTTAACTATAATTAAACATATTTTTTCAAAAATAACATTTTTTTCCTCTGGATATGAAGTTAACCTTAACTCCCTCCTTTAAAAAATGGACTTAGAGAAATAGCACTGGGAAGTGGGAATGAAGTAGACTTAAACATCAGATTTATCTAGGTTTGAAAGCCAGTTCTATCACCTAACACCTCTATGACCCTGATCAAATTGCTTAATCTTCCTGGGGCTTGATTTATCCATAAAAAATATAGAAGCAATAATCTCCAACTCATGGGATGGTTGAAAAGAGTAAATAAGATATATAACATGCATGATGTCACATCAGAGATAATAAATGATAGCTAATATTTTAATTGTTTTTCTTCAATAATTTGGATGCAATTATGCTAGACTATCCAGTCTGCCTCATCTAATTTGCTTTCCATAAGAGGTACTTTGTAAAATGTATGATTAAGAATTGATACCTTGTCACAGAACAGACTAAACTAAGTAGCAGAATTGATATTGGTGTATTATCATGTGCTTTAATTAGTCATTAGGGAGTGAGTAAGGCTCTGGGTAAGTCAAATCAATAACAGTTGCTAGAAATTAGAATGTATATACTTCC